GGGGGGTTTGAACCCCAAAACCCACCCCTTGTGTGCGCTAATGTGTATATCAGATAAAACTTCCCAGTAGGAAAAGGTAATATCTGGCAATGCAAATAGTAGTGGGTAGCCTCTATAAACTACTCAAGAAAATAAGTAAGAATTTCTCCGCAACGATGTCATACGAAAATAATGTGTGACATGTTGCTCGGCGAGACTATAAATATAATTTAAAAATACAAATAAAAAAAAAAAATCCGTGCAATAGGTTTTGAACCCATTCGGCTATAGCAGCTGTTGAGAAAACGTGAAAAAACATACTTTAGTTAGTTTTCAAACTTTTTTTCTTGTTTTTGGCTTTAAAACTACACATCATCCGCTCGCTTACATTGTGATGCATTTTTGGCTTTGGTAGGAAAAGGTAATGCATTCCCATTTTCCCACTGGGATGCTGCGTATACTTGTGTGCATATGTATGTTTATATGTTTATATGGCTAATAAGAACTTTATAATTTATTTAAGGTAATGTAGAATCAACTTGTGATTTCAGAAAATAGTTTCCCATTCATTGGCATTGGCGCGCGATTAAACAGCGAATTCCCGGGTACTGCAGTGCAGCTGCAGCGCTCAAGCGGAAAACAACAAACCGTTCAAATACTTTAATTAGTTCATGAATTTAATTAACTGTTCAATAATTTTAAGAATTCTTAGTATAATGAAATGGTTTACGCTTTATCTTTGTTTATCAACTTTGAGCTGCATTGAGAGAGCAGTGAGCTCGGAATTACCGGAATGTTTGTGTGATAGTGAAAATATGGTAAAAAAAAACGCAATTCTAAATTAATAACACACGAAAGCTGCGATAGCGTATGCAAAAACAAACGTTTTAATTCGCAACTAGTGACGTGAAAAACGGTTTACACAATCAGTGAAGTGTGGTCTATCAGACTCCTCTCATGGTTGCTTGTATTTTTATTGAAATTGATTAAATAAAAACATTTCAATCTGCAGTATTAATTCATTTTATACCCAAAAAAATAATTATAAGCTTTATCATGAGTTTCATTTTCCTCGAACTATGGGCGGAATAAAAATTTTTGAGTGAAACTCAGGATAAGACAGAATATGTCTTCCAAACCAAACCGTATTGGATTTTCGCGGGAATTGAAACATGGTTACATTTTTGCACACGCCGCCTAAATAAGGACATACCCATTTATCAAAACAAAAAAAAAAAACATTTTGAAAACTAAAAAAAAGGACTAAGAACATAAAATTTTTTCCAAATGGAACGAATGCCAGGGGTCTGGAAGACTCCTCTTGAAATTACCAAATACACAGCTTGTAAGCGACATAAGTGGGAAGTTTGCGTATACTTTAGGAATAATCTCAAGTAAGTTTTGAAATGATAAATTCAAATAAAAACTAGAATTTTAACAAATCACTCTGTACTAGCAAAAAAGTTTTAATTTAAAAAATAGAACGTGATTTCACATCTACACGCCAGTTCTTTAATTTTACAGTTTCTTTTTTCTTTTCTAATTATTTGTACAAATTTAGTTTTTTTACCACCTTAGTAAAACACATCGTTTCTTGGTGCTGAATCCAAATCTGGCCTCACAATTGCTCTAGCACTAGAATTTTGAGATATCCTAACCTCAAAGTGCCAAAAACACGGTTTTTAGCGATATTTGAGGTTATATAATGAAAACATCAAATTATTTGCTCATTTCTAGTTAGGGCATCATTTTTGTTTGATGCGATTCGATTTTTCTTTCTCGAGATATACCAGTTTTAATGTGCAGTAATTCGGTATTATGCTATGAAAAAAAAAATTTGGTGCTTTTAGTGTGGTAAAACGCTTTTTTTTCCAAGTTTTTGGTGCTTTTTGAAAATAAAAAGATGGCAACACTATCAGAAATACTTTTCTATCTTTTAACAATCGTTTGACACGCATATTTAAAATTTCGTATAACTTGTGCATAATTTAATTATACTAGATTTTTCAAACAGGTGGCAACCCTCTTAAAAATATTTTTCAACGAGGTTAGCTTAAATTATTTTGGCTGTGAATAACTTAGCGAAAGGGGAGACCAGTATATTTGAATGTATTTATATAAAAAAATATTTATTGGACCAAAAAGTAGTGGGTAGGCACTGCGGCCAATGGTAATCAACTATTAAGTACCACCTCTGCATGGTTGCAGGAAGTTTTATTACATGGCAGTTGAGAAGTGCATGTGCAAAAATCTCATAAAATTAATGAAGGAAATTTTTTCACATGCACATTAAATCATTTGAATATAATTTTGCATATCTGATGAGTGATGACACTACCAACAGAACTCAAAGAAATTTAACTTCAAACATAAAACGGTTGAAAACTTCCGAGGAGTCTGCGGGTTAAATGTGTTTCGGCTAATTTTGCTAATATTTTTCATTGCAGACTGATGTTTACAAGTTTTACTCGAATGTTATACGAAAAGTACAGCATGATGTGGATCTGTTGACCGCCGCGAATTCGGAGCTGCGCGTGCGCTTGAACGATTTCAATGAGCGGTCAGTATTTTTAGATAAACTGTGAACACATTTCAAAAGTAATCCTAATTATACTGCCAACTAGTACAGTCTAAACGATCAACGTGATTTGATATCGGAACTGCGTGCGAAGGTGAACAATACGCATGCGAATGTCATGTACGAGAAAGGTGAGCGAGCGTAGCTTATCGAACTATTTACTGAATTTAAATGAAAGATCAAATTCATTTTCCCACAACACCTAAAATTGATGTACGCGATATATTTAGTATACCAGAGACCTCAAATTCAGCAGCAGATACATGGTGAGTATGTGCGAATAATGTTGTTATAATTTCTCCTCCGCTCTGCCCTTAGTTCTGGTCGTCAACGTTTGCCTCAAAATTGCGCTGAGGCCACAGCCAATAATTGTAAAAGTGGTCGTTACACGATACAAGACTATTTAGCTGGTTCAACTCCCTTTTGGGTTTCTTGCGATGAGGACCTTTACGGTGGCGCATGGACCGTTATACAACGACGCATTGATGGCGCAATCGACTTCGATCGCAATTGGGCTGAGTATAAAGAGGGTTTCGGCAAAATCGAAGGTGAATTTTGGATTGGTTTAGATCGGCTTTAAGCCACATAACAACTCGCAATGCGCAAGAGCTTCTCATCGTTATGGAAGACTTTGATAACGTGCGTCGCCATGCGAGCTACGATGAGTTTGCCATTGATGATGAGAGTGAGGCTTATGTGTTGAAAGTGCTAGGAAATTTTAGTGGAGATGCTGGTGATTCACTGACGGCACACGTAGCTAACAAATGGAGCACACTAGATCGGGATAATGACAGAGCGCCGGAGCATTGTGCGCAAAAGTACAGAGGCGCTTGGTGGTATGAAAAGTGCCATTTGAGGTGAGTTATTGATTGGCGAATTAAACGTTGCCACTTGTTAGCGAAATATTTCTTCTTAATTGGATATATATGTATTTTTTAGCAACTTGAATGGTTTGTACCTACGTGGTGCTTATCCGCAAGAAAAGTTTGCTGAAGGCATTGTCTGGCATGCGTTTCGAGGCTACAATTATGCATTGAAATTTACACAGATGATGATAAGACCGCGAAGATCATAAAACGTAGTACCACTCGTGGTGGCAAACTATCGATGAGACTATCGATAGTATCGATGGTGTATCACTATAGGAACTATCGTTAAACTTCACAGGTTTGTTTTATATGATGCCTCTTACATGAACATTATGTTTGAAAACTTCCTAAACTTATAAAAAAAAATTTGATTTTTTTCGAGTGACAATCTAAAAATAAGTAATTTCGGTAATTTTTCGATTAAATAAGATTTTAAAAGTATAAACACAATTGCGAATTTCGTCAGTCGGAGCGATGCCGTCGGTTAATATTCGCCGCAATATTTTGCCTAGGAAAACAGAACAGCAACGAAATTTGCATCAATTGAATGACAATTAAAAAATATAAAAATACAAAACCGAAAAGACGAATCACCAAATTTTGCAATTCCGATTCTTGCTGATAATAATCTGCTAGAAAAGTGGGTAAACAAGGCTGCTTTCTACGAATCGTAGAATAAAATGCACAACACCGTCAGCCAAAAAAAAATATTAAAAATCAACGCGATTTTCTAGCGTCTCGAAATTAGCACTTTAGCCTACTAAAATCTAATCAGTAACAAAACTGCATACATAAATTTTTCTCAAAATTCTGAATAAAAAGGTGAAAATGTTAAAGTTTGTTGAATTTTCATAATTTTTGTATGAAGTTTGAAATGTGGATTTATGTATGTACAAGGGTACATAAGCATTTTACTCTCCGCTTGTTATTAGCGAGGCTTGTTTTCCCTTCCTTGAGATGAAAGTTTTATAAGTGTAGGTATGTAATCCGCATGACTAAAATGTAAATATTCTCATTAGCAATATAGACTTACGCGTGTATGCTCACGAAGAAATTAAACACATATGTATGTATGCTAATTAAAATTGTGGCAATTATTGTTATTTCACTTATACATATATTTACAGATAACTTGAATCTATGCATCTACGCAGGCATTCAAAGAGTAAAGGAATTGTGAGAAAATGAAGAAGAGTATGGCAAAGGATATCGTCGTTTAAAGTACAAAACGGCGTAACTGACATTTTTTGCCAAAATTGGATTTGCTCACAAAAGCTCTTGGCTCAGGCCTTATGCATTCGTCCTGAAATATACTGGCCATAAATGCGATTGCTTTATAAAAAAAGAGAACCATTTTGAAATGTGAGTGTTTTTACTGTCTAGAAAATTATTTATACAACCTCACATACGCGGTTTTGCATTTTGTTGATACGCGGTTTTGTACTTTAAACGACGATGCCTTTTGATTAAGCGTTTATGAAATGGTTTAGAGCATGTTAGATGTTAATTACTATGTAGGTAGTTGGAAAAGTTTCTATAAAGTGCCTTATGACCTTGTGTGTGGATGTAGTCCATGATGACATGCATGCCATGGTACTCGTAAGTGTGCGTGTATGTATGTATATGTGTATGTGTATGTATTTAAAACTTATATATATATGAAAACATGCATGTTTGAATATGTCTAATGTGCACAAATAAAATTTTTTATTACTATATGTAAGTCCTCGTCAATGTCAAAGGTAATTTAATAAAAAAAAACTGATTTAAAATTCTTGGATAAGAAGGGAAAGTTATTACAACAGCACGAATGGATTGTGCCTGACAAAGAGCCCATTTCTTGGCTAAAGCTTAACAAAGCTAGATACTTCAAAAAGCGACAAATTTGTTAATAAGGTATTTATAAACTTCTTCAACAGACATTAATTAATTCAATTTTCTTTATTACACATAGCGAAGTGATTGTCGGTAGATGCATATGTACATATATATTTATGTATGTATATAGAAAATACATACATATGAGGACAAGATGTTGTAGGTATCAACAAAAGAACGTACTACGTATTCATTTATTGGGCTACTACCAGATGCTTGTCACTTAATTTAATTAGGTTATATTTGTTAATAAAAGTTCTCGCTGCCTACTAATAATTTTTGTGACACAATAAAAATTAAAAGCAAAGTTTTACATCCTTAAATATTAGAAAAAAAATAAAAACCTTGAAAAGTTTTTAAACCAGAATGAAACAAAATTTTATTCCAAGAAAAAAGTGCTGCTAATTAAATTTTAAATTTC